GTTTGATCTGGTTTTGCAGTGTAAAGTCCTTAGTATATGTTCGGTAAAGGCCATTACATTCATGGTGGTTCAACTTCTAGGCAAGTGGGTGTGGCGGTGTGTGGCACCGCCTGCCCGGCCAAGCCATGCGCGCGGATCGCATCGGGTTTGGGCGGGGGAAAAGAAGGTTGGGACAACGTTGGTGTGTACCTGGCGAGGAATGAGTTTGGATGAGTTTGGTAGATCTACCCAAACACGGCTCTATCCTCAAATCCGCACGGATCTCTCTCCTTTTTTCGCAAAAAAAAACACACATCAGCACGGATCGGTTTTTGACATCGGTTTCTTCTCTCACCACTGGGGACCCCAGTCGTCTCTTCCATTCTTCGCCAAGAGGCCCTCTGGAAAGGCTTCCAGGGTATCCTGAGCAGGCTTCTCCGTTTGAAACGCCGTGTCCAGAGTTCCCAGAGCTTAACACCTTTGGAAGGGCTTTAGATGTCCTGTTCTTTGAGAGAGGGGGATTAGTTTGTTTTACAAATTGCCTGGTGGAACCAACGTGGATGGGGCCTCAAGCCTTGAGTGCAAGAGCTGATTCTTTTCGAGGGTCCGGGTGGCTACGTCCGATGTTTGGATTGATTGTGCAAGAAACAAGCTCCCCTGTCTTTCGTGCGTAAGGCAAGAATTCGTCGTTTCCACAGTTCTCGTCGTTTCATCCCAACCTACCGACATTTCTGGATTGTGCCAAATGAGCCCGAACAAATCTTCATCTTATTTCGCACCTCGAGCAACGCCATAAGGTTACAGTGACTACACAAACATGCTTGGAGCCATCGCTACTAGGTTGAGGCCATTGCTAGTAGGTTGGATTCCGTGGCTAGCAGGTTGGATGCCATCGCTAGTAGGTTGGATGCCATCGCTAGTATTTCTCCTTCCTTTATGATCTGGGGTCTCTGCTTCAAGCACCACATGGACTCTGAAAACCGGTGCAGCTAGAGGAAAACAATCTTCTAGACGGCCGGGAGTGCACTCAAGCATTGTCTTTTGAGGTCCATGCATGTCCATGCTCAAAGGGGCTTCAGGAACCCAAACTCTTGTGGCAGCCTTGACGTATAGCTGTCTTGACTGGGGAACCCGAAAGGAAGAAACGCACGGGCCGCGACCGAACTCCCGCAATTTCAGTCGCGGCTCGAGCACTCGAGTGAGCTGCTCCGCGGGAGGGAGCTTATTGAAGCTGATGGCTAAGAGCTGAGAGGTCCGGTCGTCCAACACCTGCCGTTCCACGGTCGTCGTGGCTTTCGTTCCGCCCGTTCCGCTTTGTGCAACTCCCATCCCGCCGTTGGTCTCGAGAAGACAAACAAAAGGTCTGCAAATTCCGAGTTTGGGGTCATGGGATGTCATGCATGGGCAATGACCAAGAGATCAGGGGCCAATGATGCTACTAGGGGTTCCTGGCCTTACTACTAGCAACAAGAAGCTACTAGGGGCTCCTGGCATCGCTACTAGGAGCATGGACGCTACGAACGGGGTTCCTGGCACCCTGACTCTTGGATCCTGTTCCGACCCATCTGGCACCGGACCCCCAACCGGTGCGAACCGAACACGACCTGGAGCCGAATTGGAACATTCCGACGACCTGAGAGACCCCAGGAACCTGGATGTCCATATACAGATAGTCCCCCAGCCTTGGGGATTGACCCAATTCGGGCAAAGAACGCATCTACGCCGAGATCTGACGCCGAGATCGGAGCTACACGGTCGAAGGTTGGGACACCAGGACACCAGGAGAGGTGTCCATCGGCTCTTGGAGGTTGAGTGTCCCAAAAGCACATCTGGAAGGTCCTGGTACAGGTTAGTTGGACCTCACTTTTACTGGATCGCTACTAGTAACAAGGTGCATCGCTATTAGTTTAACTTAAGTGCATTACTACTATGTATACTATAGAACAAGCAGCTACTAGTAGCAAGGTGCATCGCTACTAGTAGCAATCGGACGCATGTAAACATACACTACCAACATGAGGTTTGTCAGGACCTGGGTCGGACACCGAGTTGGGGACGGTTCTCCAGACCAGCGCAGGTCATGACGTGACCTGTGGTGGCCATGAGACACACCCAGTAGTTCACTCTTGAAAGGATAGCCCAGTGGATCCCCAAGCAGCCACGAGGACGTCCTAAGGAACCACACCTCGTAGTCTACGACTCCGACTCGCCACTTCCAGGGACGTGGAGAACCCTTCTAGTTCGTCAAGTATCGTCTTCCATGTCGTTTCCGGCCACGGATCCACTTCCGTGTGGTTCGTTGGATCACCGGATGGACCGCCGGATGGATCGTGCTCAGAGACCGCCGGGGTGTCGGGAAAAGGAACTGCTCCCAGACACGACCGGGACTGGATTGACTTACGATTTACTTATGACCCCTATTAGTGAATCATCCCCTAAACCCTCCTCAAACCCTAGGGTTGCCCTCAAACCGGTCACTCTTTGACTTATACCACGTATGGCATAAGCATTGGGCCTACATGGACCCGTATGGTCAACGACGGTCTTTCCGTCCCATGGAGTGAAGGGCGAGCCAAGTGGCCCGCAGCTTCTTCCGCGGTTCCGGATCGCCTTCGCTGGCGGTGTCGTCTGCAGAAGTCTGTGGTGGTCTTTATGGTGACATGTTGGGAGAAAAAGCACCAATTGGCCTCCACCCGAGGCCAGAAATGGCGGTCAAATTCATTCCAATTCCACTCTTTGCAGAGTTGCGCCGCTTGTAATCCGCTTCACTCTTTGCTTCACCGAGCACGCGGCCGTTCGACCGGCCTTGTCCCGCGTGGCCCTTGGCGCCAGGAACACTCCGCCCGGTGCCACACCGCGCCACGTCGGCCAGTGCGAAGCGCCGCTGAAGCAGCTGAGTGTCGAAGCTCACTGGAGCTGTTAGGCCACTCCAAACGCTCTCCTTGGGTGAAGGCCGAAACAAGCACAAGCACAACCACATCAACAGCAACAGCAACGACAACTTAAGACATCACCAATGATTAAGTCTTTCTTGGGAACATCGGACACCCGTGGGTTTTCACCGAACAAAGCTGGGTTGAAACCGTGTCGATCATCTCCCTTAACAGGAAGTGAACTTCACCAGCCCTTCACATGATGATCTATAACAACCTGATATAACCCATGACCATCCAGGGCGGTGCACATATGGCCTACACCATCCTACACGTTTATGGTTTTGGGATGGTGCTTCTATGCGTCATCGATTTGTCTTACATGGATCGGACACTGGGGTCCACCGAACTGATCCCCCAAAAAAGAAGAAACGACACACCCACCATCCTTCCACTCAGAAAAGGCCCTCCCATCACCTGGAAGCAGCCTCCCCAATCCCCGCCCCTTTCCTCTTTCGAGTTTCCGGCGGCACCTGCTGCAGCGTCTGCCAAAAGAGCGGCCGCAGCTTCGGCTCGTCCGGGCGGCGCGCAGCCGCGCTCGCGCCGGTGGCGCCGGTGGCAGCGGCGCTGCAAGGTGGACCAGCACCACGGCCTGGCCGGCTGGAGGAGGATGGTCGGGACTGGGAGGGGATGAGATGGATGGTTGGGGCGACCTGGAGGTGGTTGGACTGGCGACTCGTGCTAGCGGCTAGCGGCAAGCGAAATCTTGGAACACCTGGAACACCTGGAACTCTGTTTTGGTGGAGAGTGGTGGAGCCAATCAGCTGGATGTCACAGGATCCTTTACAAAGAGAGAGAGAGAGAGAGCTTTACAGGCCATCCCCAGCAAGTCAGTGTCAGCCACACATCTCTCGCACTGTCAACCAGTTGCCAAGCTGAATCCAAGAAATCACTGCACCACCGAGTCGAACTCCGAGCAAAGACTGGTTACGTCTCGTGTGTGGAAGTATCAAGATCTCCCAACCTCTCCGGAAAACCGAAGATTGGCGCCTTTCCCTTTGGGCGCTCTGGGAGGACCTTTCCCTGCAGCTTTCGCCATGGAGCTTGTGGAGGTCGTGCGCGCGCGTGTGCGCAGCGATGGCCTCCACCCTAATAGCTTCTCGCTCCGTTCGTAGCGATGCCCTTTGTTCCTAGTAGCTTCTTGCTCCTAGTAGTAAGGCCAGGAGCCCCTAGTAGCGTCCTTGCTCCTAGTAGCGATGGCCACCCTAGTAGCAAGGAACATCAAAGCGTCGTAACTTGGACTTCGCAAGAGATGATAATGCTGAGGGAGTTTCTTCCTGAAATCCGGTGAACACCTGCAGGAATGTTTGTCGTTTTCCCACCACTTAGAAGGCCTTTCGGCGTCCAAAGAAAAGGCGCCAGGCTTCCAAACCCTGTTGGAGGCCCATTGACTCTGAAAAACACACCTGTTCTGTTGCGCTTGTAGGTTGGAGGCCATCACAATTAGTGAAGTTTCCCTGTTAGCTTGTAGGTTGGGCTGCTCTTCCGGACCCACTTTCCACATCTGCTCTTCTGGACCTGCGAGCCCAAACAGCCAGTGTCTCCTGCGTGGCTCCTGCGCCCGACCCATTCGGAGCCACGGCTCGTGGCAGCACTGCTCTTCGGAGCACACGGCGACCCCAAAACCACCGGGTGTATTGGGAAACTGGTCGAAACCACGGGTTTTAGTTGTTTCAGGTGTTACCTCATGTTGCCTCTTTAAGAAATCTACATCACACACATTTTGGACCAGCTGGGTTGCTTTGAAGCCACTCTGACTCACGACTCTTTCATATTCTTCTGCAAACCTAGCTGGAACGACCAAAGGAGTCCCAGTCGGGTTCCAAGTCGTGGAGTGTCTGAGTCTCGAAATGGCACACTATCGTCGTACTAGTAACAAGTGCCACGCTAGTAGTAACAGGTGCCTTACTAGTAGTAACAAAAAAGCTATTAGCTTAAATTTAAATTAAATTAATAGCTTCTTGTTACTACTAGTAAGGCACTTGTTACTAGAAGCGATGCACTTGTTACTACTAGCGTGGCACTTGTTACTAGTAGTGATTTGGTTCCTTTCCTGCCCTTCCTGTTTCCCTCCCACACCGCGCGCACTCCGTCGCGATCAAGAGCTCCAGCAGCACCAGTTTCCGCGGAGCCTTAGCTTGCTGCGCGGCGGCCATGGCCGCCAGGGGCTGTGGCAAACGCTCGGCCCAGCTGAGGATTAGCCGCAAGCAGCTGGGCAAATCCTGGAGCTCAGCTGGTTGGCTTCGGTGCTTCACGCAGCTGCGCAGAAGTTAGCTGAGCTCCGTCAGAAGCTCTGTCAGAAAGAAAAGGGTGAAGCCATTGTGTGAAAAATGCGTTGGCTTGCAAAGAAAACTCACTGCTACCACTGTATGTGCAATGGTTGTCTCCCTTCAAGCACCAAGGACCGTATAACATCGCAAAACTGTCATCTACAGTCCTGCAAAAACAACACGTTCCCTCTTCCTTTCTTCTCCAAACTCACCCACCAACCTTCAAATCCTCCCCTTCCATGGCTTTCCATCCCAGGACTGCCCCGGACTCTTTCAGCTCGAAAGCGCACGTCCTCCAGGAGGCTGCCCAGTTGATCTGGCACCAAACCGACCACCTCGATCTCCTCCGACGAGACCTCGACCGACGTCACTCACTCGGTGAGACGCAGTGCCCCCGCCGAACATCGTCCCGTGAACATCGTCCCGTGCAGGTCGAACGGCACGGGGCCAGTGGTCCAAAAACCACCAAACTGGAGCGGAGACGCATCTGACCCCCGCAGTGAAGTCACTCACGACCTGCGAGTCACTGATCTTCTGAAAGGAAGATGTGTACCTTTTGGACTTTGAAAGACGAACAAAAGGCATCCACTGGCGACGGACACGACAACCTCTCGTCTTGAACTCCTCGTCACATCGGCCAAACCGCCCATCTCACATCTTGGCACTCTGAAAACATCGACGGATGACAGGAAAACAAGCTTATAAAGGAGGAAACATCATGGAAACACCGTTCTGTTCTTTGTTCCAAAGTGGGCACCTGCGCTTATCGAACATGGTCGGTGTCCACGCGTTCTGTTCCTCAACGTCTGGCGCCGCTCGTTTCGTCCAGCGGCCACGCTGCGCAGTTGCTCCAGCTCCACGTGACACAGCACCGCAGTGCCACGTAGAGCGACCGCTAGGCTGAGCCTGTAGCGGTGGAAAGGCGGCGATTGACTTCCGGGCCCCCAGGCCCGGTGCTCCGCAAAAAGAAAGATGTGTTTTTTGATGGTTTTTGTATGTGAACACCTCTATGTATCATGGTTTGGAGGGCCCCTGGTAGAATCTGGATCACTAACACCCACAGCTGCATTTGGATTGTAACACTTCTTCATGTGGGGGGTTTGATTCATCAAGATTCTACAATTCTACATTGAACGTTGAACATCGGGTGAAAGGAACAGTCTTCCAACACCTCCGGGGTTCTTGGAATCTTCTCTTCTTATAGCCATAGGATGTCAGGGGCGAACGTCCTACACGGCTTGGGTTGATAGAAGGTGCTGCTTTTTGGGGTTCTTCTAACAAAGGATCAGTAGAAGGGTGGTGACACCTTGGCATGATATAGGCTGATCTGACAACAGGCACTGGACATCACATACCATCCTCGAAAAAGAGGCCCTCACAAACTCTGCTCGTGTCACTCAACTGTGGTTCCTGTATTTGCTCTGTATACGATGCCCTTTGCTCTGTTCGTAGCGATGCCCTTATCCCCCTTCGAGCCCTGGACTTCCCGAGACGAAGTTCGTCGTCTTCCGACGAAGAAGTTCACCGAGTCCCTTCGCTCCCAAAGCGGAACGAAGAGGTGGATTATGATTCATCGAAGAGGTGGATGTTGGGTCTTTCCAGACCTCGAAGACATCAATCTGAAACAACTGAAGCGAAGAGCTGATAAAACTTTTGGATGATGATATGAGTTGTATGATTTACGGAGTCATCGAAGGACATCATCGAACGAATGACGCATCGCAAGACAACGACGAATCACAAGAAATCACCTTCCGCATGGTCTTCAAACACCCCACCTCAAACTCCCCCCCCAACTCCGTTTCTGTTTCCCTCACGGGTTCCGATGGCGATGGCCTCCAACCCTTGCGTTCTTCGTTCGCCGTTCTTCGTTCTGTCCAAGTGGCTGCCCCAGAACTGCGGCGGCCCAGAAGCTCCGGTGCTGTTGCAAGACGCGTGGATGCCGAGAGCACTCCACGCGGTGCGCGTGCACGAGCTCACGGTAGCCGCCTCATGACACGGTGCTGGGCGGTGTAGGACATGACACGACATTCTGGGGGGTGTCTATTCTGCATAGCCTCTCACCAAAAAAAACAACTTGAGGGGATGTGAACGAGGATTTCGAATTCCATTCACCATCCAACCATGGGTCCAAAGATGTCCTAACGGTAGACCTGTATGGATTTCTTTCGGTGTGAGGTCACCGTCCTGAAGTGCTGGGAATTTTGCTTGGTTTTGCAGGTCCGTTGTTTGTGTTGTGCTGTGTTGTGTTGTGCCTTGATGGGTTTTGGAGTGGTACTAGCATTTTTTTCTGTCTTGCTGGGTGAGGTCAAGAATCATCCAAAAACGCCATGACCACAGCAGAAATGAATGTGTGAGCCATGTTTTGCCGGAGATGGCTGGATACTGGATGCGTGTCAAGTGAATACAACAATACAAACATGGAACATGAATCCAAAAGGGAGTCCTACACTCTATGTATTCTGATTGTTGCGACCCCCAAAAAACATCCGCACGTGGCGCAAGAGAGTCTCAACTGAACGCCAATCATCCACTCCCCCGGCGCTCCACCGGCGTGGTGGGTCGGCAATGAAAATCCCTGGCCGAGCCACTCTGCTCGGCCAGCATCATCTGGTGCGTGACCTTCACGATCTTCAGGCGTTGACCTTGCGAAGCGCACCACAACCAGTGGTTGACCCGTCGCTACTAGAAACAAGTGCCTCGCTAGTAGTAACAAGTGCCTTACTAGTAGTAACAAGAAGCTACTAGGAACAAGTGCCACGCTACTAGGAACAGGTGCCTTACTAGTAGTAACAATAAGGTCAACCTTGCGAAGCGCACCACCGGACGTGACCGGACACGCATCTTCGCGGACCGGACGTGACCGTCTTCCGACGTCTTCCGCGTGACCGTCAGCAGCGCGAGGTCCCGCCCGGGTTCACACGAATTTGGGAGACCTTCTCCAAGCTCAAACACCTGACTCTCAGCTCCCTATATGTAGACTCCATGTATTTCAACCCCCTGAGGTTGAAGAGGTTTAAAATTCCATGTCTGCGGTGGTTATTCATCACACATGAAGCTTCCACGAAGAACCAAAAGGACCCTTTATGCCGACAGGGACCCAAATCAGCTTCCATTTGCCAAGCGAGTTCCAAGGGCAACCCCAAAAGGACCCCCTTGGAACCCCTTTAGCTCTCTACAGTATATATTCAAGAAACACACCAAAACCATCCAAAACCAACGCCGCTTGGTCTCGTGCCGCCGAGCGGCTGCCGCCGGTGCACATCAACGCCAGCAGTCGCTCAGCCGCGGCGGGCGGAAAGAGGCCTCCGCCTCTTTCCGCGGCTGTGGCCTCTTGGACGCCTGAAGGGGTCGCTCGTGTTTTTTTCTTGCGCGAAGGAAGGGCTTGAAATGTCAACATGGCTGCGCGAAGGATGGTTAGGACAGGTGTTGGAATTAGGCTTGACCAGACTGCACGGCTTTAGGCGTGAAAGCACAGGTGTTCCAACACCTTTCGGGGGATTTTATGAGCTTCATTTGGATCCTGTACAACAAACAAATACAAGGAGGTACAGTAAGTTTAAGAACGTGCTCCACAGTCAGTGGGTGGATAGAAGGTCATCGCTGCACCAGTTGCATGCATTGGCTCTTGACCTTGTTGACAGCAAATTGCATTTCTTGATTCAGCTTTTAACAGCTTTTGTTGGATCGCGTCCGATCCATGTTGACGCGTTGAGATGCACATTGATGTCTCCGGATCTGCTCTGTGTTGTCGCCAAAGTGAGGTTCAGGGACCTCAAGCATGGAATGGTTCATGCCCGTGAACACCATGTGAAAGCCACATGAACACCCAGCGAAATCCATGCAGTTGAACATACTCTTTCCAACTTACACATGGAATTCGAGCAACTATATCTAGACTGTATATACTAGTAGCTCATCGAGGTCAAACATGGAGTGAATGTATAAATGAATGGACTGGTGTTATATGCGCTGTGTCCGCCATTTATACGGCCCGGCCCTACTACGGCAAAGAAACCACCGCCACGCCGTCCACTTGATTTCCTGATTGGTCCCTTGTTTTGCAGATCTGTGCCTGAAGCTTGTGCTGGATCCAACGCCAGCCAAGGCACCTCAAACGGGAGTGAATCAAAAACCCAACGGGAGTCCATTGTAGACGGTTTGATTCAGAAAACATGTAAACCCGCTTCGCATAAGAAGAACAAAGACTCTTCCAAAAAAAAGGGGTTTGAAATCTCAAGCAGAAAGATCACAACACCGAGTTCTGCCACTCCGAGTGGTTGCAACGTTTTGGCGGAGTGCGCTGCTTTTTCTGGAAGAGGAGCCAGTGGCCCTGTCGCTGGAGGAACCTGCTAGGCTGCCCAGGTTGTTTTTTGATTTGACAAGATTTGTCAGCTGTCTTGTCTATTGTTCTGCTATGTTTTGCTATGTTTTGCTGCCCTTTAAAAACCTTGCTTAACTACTATGACTACCAACTACGACCACTACCACTACCACTACCACTACCACTACCACTACCACTACGACTACTACTACTACTACTACTACTACTACTACTACTCACTACTCACTACTCACTACTCACTACTCACTACTCACTACTC